ACGCCCACCCAATCACATGGCTGGCAAGCCACTCACACCTGGTCACATGGCCGGCAAGCCACTCTCACCCGGTCACATGGCCGGCAAGCCACTCCCACCCGGTCACATGGCCGGCAAGCCACTCCCACCCGGTCACATGGCCAGCAAGACACTCCCACAAAGCAGGCCACACCTACAGAAGAGGTTCTAAAAAAATTTGAAAACCAACACTGCCTACAGTGGTCACGGAGGGCCCTGAGGAGGTCCTCAAACCTGAGAAAAAGAGGTCGGAGCAAACTCTAGTCAAGGGGTTTCAGGCAGGGGCTTGGGCAGTGCGACCTGCCACAGCCACATCCTTCTTTACCAGGGGCCTCCCTGGTCTGGATTCAACAACTTCAGGAGAGACTTGACACCAGAGACACTAGGTCCCACAGGGACCTTAATAAGATCAAGGCGGCCATGGAGTATGCAGCGGACGCATCCCTTAATGCAGCAAGGTTTGCATCCAGGGCCATGGCCTCCTCAGTTACGGCCCGCAGCCTGTTATGGCTCAAGCCCTGGCAGGCAGATGTTAGAACCAAATGGCGCCTTGCCGCTTCCCCCTATAGGGGCGGGCAGTTATTTGGGACCCCCCTGGATCCCTATTTGAAGGAATACAAAGACAAGAGGAAAGTCCTTTCCTCTATTTACCTCTATTTACAAGCGTCCTACCCCTTACTTTAAACAGTCACCCTTTCAAGGGTCGGACAGGGGGATTCACCGGGGCCGCCTGGTCTTCTTTGCCCATCGATGGGAGGAAACGACGGATGCCTGGGTGAGGAAAACAATCAAATTTGGTCTTTCCCTAGAGTTCCTCTCCACCCCTCAGGAGCACTTCGTTCAGTGCCCACTGTCTCGTGACCCTCAGAAGCAACTTCTGATGGAACAGGCAATTCAGCACTTGTTGGAAATTCAGGCCATCCAGCCAGTGCCGAAACAACAGCGAGGGCTAGGTTTCCATTCTCTCCTGTTTGTCATCCCGAAGGCTCCACCCCAGGGGGGTGGAGAGTGATACTCGACGTAAAAACATTGAACCGCCACATTGTTTACCACACGCAGAACCTCATAGCACAGGGCAGGTGGTCATATCAGAAGCGACAGAACAACATAAACTGGCTCGAACTGTGGGCAGTCCGCCTAGCATTGCTACAGTTCCAGGACACAGTACGGGACTCTCACGTCCTGGTGTTGACTGACAACACAACAACCAAAGTCCACATTAACAGGTAGGGGGGCATCTGGTCTTGGGGCCTCATGCAAGAGGTCAGCCGGTTGGGCCTATGGGAGGAGTCACACCTGGCATCCCTCAAAGCGGAACACATTTCGGGGATCTCAAATGTCCAGGCAGACTGGCTCCGTCGTTCCTGAATAGACCAGGCGGAGTGAAGCGTCCGGACCTTTTCCACACCCTGGTCGACTGCTTCAGCCTGCCAGTCCTCAACCAACCATTAGGTGCCCAGCTGCTACTCCTGGTACACGGACCTGAACGCGGAAGGCACAGACGCCCTCAGATGCCAGTGGGCCCCCCCCCCGCCTCCTGTATGCGTTCCCACCACTTCCACTCATCCAATGAGTGATTCGCAAACTTCTGGACCAGGAGGCGGAGCTCCTACTTCTGGCGCCCAACTGGCCATGCTGCCCCTGTTTCGCCGACCTAGTGAACTTATTGGTTGCTCCTCCTTGGCACATCCCCCCATCGGTCATCTCTCTCCACCAGGGGTCAATCCAGCACCCGGAGCTGCAGTGGTTGCAATTAGCCACATGACTATTGAGCGGCAAGCCTTGACTGTGGGCAACCTTTCCGCTACCATCATCAACACCATCCAGACGTCTCTCAGAGCCTCCACAAACTGCATCTACGATGCCACCTGGCGAACATTCCATCGTTGGTCCACCCACAACATTGAAGCTTCTGCAGTGTCTATTCCCCAGGTGCTGGACTTCCTCCAACAGGGACTAGAACAGGGTCTTTCCCCCAACACTCTGCAGAGACAGGTGACGGCCCTTTCATCGGTTGTTCCCTGGCTCTCACCGGATCTACAATCACCACTCGTCAATGGATTCGTCTGTGGCGCCTCCAACCTTCACCCGCTGGTCGTCCACAGGTTCCTGACCTGGGACTTGCCCAAGGTCCTGGAGGCGCTTACCTCTTCTCCGTTTGAGCCCTTATGTTCAGCGTCCCTATGTCACCTTTCGCTCAAAACCACGTTCCTCATAGCCATAACAACGGCTAGGCGAGTCTCTGACCTAGCTGCCCTGTCAGTCAGGCAGGAACTATGCATCTTCCACTCTGACAGGGTGGTGTTACGCCTCGATACATCATATATTCCAAAGATTAATTATAAATTTCACAGGGCTCAGGAACTGGTCCTACCGGACTTTTGTCCGTCCCCTCAACGGCAACTTGAATGTAAGTGGCATTCACTTGACGTCCGTAGGGTGCTCCGAGAGTACATCAACCGCACGGCCTCCTTCCGAAGATCAGAGGCCGCCTTCGTGTCCTTTTGACAGGATTCCCTTGGGGTCAAGGCCACGCCGTCGGTCATTGACCACTGGATTAGAGCATGCATCAGACTGGCCTACGAAACCCAGGCCCTTCCACCACCACATCACATCATGGCCCACTCCACAAGGAGTGCGGCCACCACGGCAGCATGGGCTACACAAGCGCCCATCGAAGAGATCTGTCGGGCTGCCACCTGGACATCACCAACACCCTTCATCTGGCACTACAAACTGGACAGATACGTGTCAGCTGACGCCGCATTTGGCCAGAGGGTGCTACAACAGGTGCATGTCGCATAATGTGAATCACATCAGACATTTTCCCACCCTACAGGACAGCACCTACTTCGGTATGTCCAAGCCTGGCTGCTATCTCCACCAACATTGGAGAATGGGCATTGGTTCTTACCTGAGACGCCCTTTCTCTGGACGGTGGAGATAGCAGCTAGCTCCACCCTGGTGCAGGTCCGGTCCCAGGTGACATGGAGGAATACAGAGAGAGCACATTTTTGTTTTGCGTGTGTTTTTTGTTTTTTTTGCATTTCTCATGCCAGTCTACAGTCAAAACTTCGTCAAAAGCTGGGAGGAGTCACCAGTGCAAGATGACATCACAGATTGTAGATGCAGTCCAATTGGATAATGGATGGAGTAAACCCAGCCTCGCTGCTATCTCCACCGTCCAGAGAAAGGCGTCTCAGGTAAGAACCAGTGCCCATTTCCTTCCTACCTTAACCCTAACCCTAACCCTAACCCTGATGTTCTCTAGGGTCCTGTAATGTCTGATAGAAAACCACCTAGCTCAAAGAGCACCAAGGAGCCCACAGTCCTCCACCTCTCTGCAACCCCCCTCCCCTTCTAACACTGGTGATGTAACCAGGTCTTATGAAACATCTGCAAGACAACCGCTGCCCCCACCCCACTCAGACAGACCACCCCTTCAACCCCCGAGCTACACACATCCCATTGTGTAATAGGGAAGCCCACCAGGGGATTCAGAGATAAAACGCCCCGGGCGGGCATTGTCTTTTGTTGGTTGGTTTGTTTCACCGATTGCATGTTGTGTTTTTTTCACATACACACCCCCAAGCAGCCTGCCAAAAAGAAAAAAGTGGAATCTTCCTACGATATCAACAACATTGTCATTCCCATGTCCATGGCCGCCGCCACTCGGGTGGAAAAGCTGCAATATAAAGAGATTTTAACCCCCAGGTGAGTTCCTTTATTTTAGTTATTTATTTGGGGGCGGGTGTGTGTGTGTGTGTGGGGGGGGGGGATGGATACTCATATCGATTTCCCGAGGAATCCGGAATCTGGAATTTTAGGAATTGAAGAATAAGTGGAATTTAATTTGAGGAAGTTGTTCCATTACCGGGGAATCCTCAACTTCATGACCACAATGCTGGCCCCAACTTTCTGTTGTGGAGAAAGAGGGTGGTTAAGGGAGACACTCGGTTGTTAAGGAAAGCTTGTTGAGTGAGTTTGTCCCCACTTTTCCTGCCGCTGTCGTTAAAGGAATCACTGGTTGCTGAGTGAACCACACAGTAGTTAAGTGAAGCATTGTTCAATGAGTTTTGCCCCATTTTAGGGCCTTCCTTGCCACCGTTATTAAGGGAATCCCTGCGGTTGCTGAGTGAGTCACATGGTTAAGTGAAGCATTCCTTAAGTGAGTTTTGCCCCATTTTATGACCATCCTTATCACCATCGTTTAGTGAATCCCTACAGTGGTTAAGTCAGCCACACAGTCATTAAGCGAATCCTGCTTCCCCCTTGACTGTGCTCGTCAGAAGGTCACCAAAGGAGATCATGTGACCTTTGACTGTCATAAACCTGAGTCCTTTGCTGAGTGTCTGAATTCTGATCACATGACCCTGGGCATGTTGCTAGCATCATAAACGTGAAAAACGGGTCCCTTTTTTCAGGGCCATTGTAACTTCAAACGGTCACCCCGCAAATCAAGCAATCAATCACCTCTGTTTTTCTCCCTTTAGCTGGAGAACAGTGGATCCCAAAGAGTTGGTGATCTTAGAGAAAGCAGACACAGAGGTAAGAGAGAGGGCGCCCCCAGGTGGCCCTGTGTGGTTGTTGTGGGTCCATCCCCAAGCTTGCGTGTTTGTGCATGTGCATGCGTGTGCGCTCATGCGCACACACATGCTTTTCTCCGTACACGTTGTGCAACCCCAGCCACAATCGGGCAAGTGGCTAGATAGGCGTTGTGAATTCAAGAGTGGAGGGAGGAGGGGGGTTGCTGCCTCCAGATCATAGCGGCCCACATTTGACGCCTGGCCTTGTATGATGGGGAGGACCCAAGTGTCTGCAAGGAAATGGCCCGGCTCAGAGAGCAGCAAGTACTTCCTCCTCATCTTCTCCCTCCTCCTCCCTTTCTTCTCCCTCCCCTTTCTTCTTCATCTTCCTCCTCCACTTCCCTTTCTTCTTCACTTTACTCCTCCTCCTTCACCTTCTTCCTCCTCCGTCACCCCTTTCTTTTTATTTTTTTTATTTTTAATTTTCAATTTTCAAAACAAATACAACACATAAAATCTTCCTTTTCTACATACAGTAGAAAGTGTACCAGTTGGTTACAAAAGACTTTCGTGCATCTCTTCCACAGTCATCAAGCATAATTCATATTAACTCAAGTATTTTAACTCAGATATTTATACATGTTACCGTCATCATACCTCCATTTTCATTTGACTATAGTTGTTTAAACGTCCATCATAAAATATACCAAGATGTACTACATAACCACATACTGGCATTTGATTTACTATTTATTTCTAAAATCCTCCAATGACACTAAATCCTTATATCCTATTCTAGCTAAACATCCACAATATATAAGAACAAAGTTTTCTATCCTTCTTTCCAAATCATTGTTTACAATTTACATCTCATTTCCTTATATTGTACGTACGTACGTACGTACGTAC